TTCTTAATTATTGTTTAAAATGAAAAAGTTCTAACTGTTATTTCATTCATATTTATAAGAGTTAAAACCTTTTCATTCTGAGTATCTCATTTAATAATCATCAAATCGATAGGATTTAAAGATTGATTTATACAAGAATAAAATATTAAACAATATATGCTAAAAAACCATTTGTCAAAAAAATTGATTTAGAACCTTTTCATTTTAAGACGACGGTTTTATAAAACCGGATTTTCACGATGAAAGAAGTGTTGATCGATGGTACTCTGTGATCTTATAAATCTCGTGCGTGTATTTATAAATTATAAGTTGTTTTTAATTAAAAAATTGGACACAATTTGCATTTTGATGTTATAAAATACTATACAGTTTGTTTTTGTTTTAAAACTGTTGAAAAGGTTATTTAATTGTTTGTATTTAATATGTTTCAAATTGTTATACACAGTTACATTAATTCTTAACAATTAAAATTATGTATTATTTGTTATTTAAAAAAAATAAAAATGTATATCACAACAACTTGTTCTCAATATTTTGCAATGTACCCCATTTCGGAGCACATTGTTACATTTTGACTGGGTTAATCAAAATATTTCATTTTAGTATTCAAAATTATTTTATTTTTCAACTTTTTTTATTATAAAAACTATTCAAGAAGTTGCATAACAAAATTTTCAAACATCAATTGTGATTAAAATAATAAAAAAATAGTGGCAAGTAAAAGTACACAACATGTAACAATTAATCTTGTTTTCCCTAAGTTAAAAAAAAAGCAACTTTTCTAATTCAATAAATAGTTAAATAAGCACACATTTTTTTTATAGAAATTTTAATTTAAAATTTGAACGAACTTACATTTTCAAACTCTGAATAACGATATTCCTTACTTTATTATACTTCAAAAAATTTATTCGTAATGACACTAAAGTTTTTTGTATATCGTTATATTCTACACGCACAATATTTCCAATTGTAATAATTTTGTTAAAAATTAAATAAATTATTGTTATAGTAAAAAAAAAATTAACTTTGATATTGTCTAACAGCAATATCAAAAAAAAAAAGAAAATACAACATAAAATATACTTAGTGATATAGTCCTGATAAACATTAATCGTTAATCATGTAAAATTCGATTGTAATAAGCCCGTTCAGAATCGTTTTGCGTATACCTACATGGATATATTATTGAATTCAAATTTAACACGATATCTAGTATTTACTCAACGCCAACGGACAATCGGTATCATCGGACATTTTATTTCTTCTTTTAGAACATTATTTACCCCGTTGAACTTATTCATTTATTTCATATGTTGTTTAATTAACATACTTCACTAGTTGTTTAATTCACAAACTTTTTATTTTTTTTTTCTTCACAAATGTTGATACAAATTGATACATAACTTGAAAAGGGTGTAGTATAAACCCTATTCGTTTAGAATACTCTGATTTTAGATCATCCTACGATTTGGTATAGAAGATACTGATCACTGCGTAATGTGTGAAACTAAACCTTCACGATGCTGATATATTTTTAGATCGTTGATGTGTATTGTATTATTATTGCATATACAAAGCGCCGTGTATCGTAAATAAAATTTTTTGTCAATTTTAATGTTTTGTAATTATTTTGTTGAGAAATTTCTTAACTACGCGCCCTTTGTTTCGTTAATCGTGTAAAATTCGAGTATAATCATCTCGTGTTCCAGAAAAAGTTTTTAATACCTAACCAAATCGCTCAAAACTTTATAAATCAAAAGTTATTTTTTTTAGAAGGTCCAATGACCATTATGTTTGCTGTTGATCATTTATTTTTAAGACCGCTATATTATTTGATAATTTGTGATAGACACGCGCTTCTAAAATGATATATTGTATTATAATAATATATTTATCTTACATTTTTACTTATTTAACTAGAAAATAATTAAACATTAAAACTTTTGAAACAAACGACAAGATAAAATAGATGATAATAATGATTTAGGTTGTACAATTGGTCAATTCGCGTTCATATAGTTTTACCTTATCTTATTCCAATCGTACCGAAAATCCTAGTAAACATAGTATTTTCTAAGGATCGGTTATCTCTTTATCATAACCCGGAATGTACAGCTTTTATTTCATTAACCGTATCACTATACGCGCAAGTGCCTGATCTAAGTTTCAGAAGGTAGAGCTATAATTATTAATATTTGAAGCCTTTTAAAAATAGTCGCCTAAAACTGCCCGTTTAAAAATACAACGTTTATTAGACTTTTCAATCAAAAATTTGCTATATTGACTACATTTTGTAAGACAATAATAACACATACAAATGGACGAAACGTCTTTCTCTCGACGTCCAACGACGTGTTATGTGTAGAAAACTCGTGTAAAATAAATTGCCTTCAATTTCTAAAGGCAAATACCGAAGTGCGTGTTCTGAAAATTAGCTACAAGCGAAGTACAAGGAAATCCTGTCTATTATTATATATTCAATTCGTATTTCGTACAACGGACATCGTTGCGACACACGACCGTTACTTGTCAATACGTCTTGTTGTACCGCGATGTTTTCCAAACCATTTTTAGTTGTCGTTATCGAAAAAAAATGACCGACAATATAGTTATTGCATTGTCGGCCGATTATCGATGTGCGGACGTCGCGGTATGACGTCAATAAGACCATAACGGAAAAATGTAGGTATTACGCAACGATAAAAGAATTAACTTGTCGAGCATTTTGATTGTGTTTGATCACGCGTGTATCGATAATGCAACACGATAAAACATTCATAATAAAAATAAATAACTCACCAACCAATAATTGTGCCGCGATAACAAAACATTAATAAAAAAAGAAAATTTAAAAAAAGTTTGATTTCCTATAATCGGGTCGGCGGTTAGCTTATCACCATCATCGTGATGGATCCCGCTGGTCTATGACGAAACGGTAAGCGGGTCCGGATTCAGACATGTGGACTGGGCATTCATCGATTTTCCTATTTAAAAAAAAAATTATTTTTAGCTATAGACAGTTGTTTGACGGTACCGTCCATATTAGACATAAAAAATTTTTGGCTTTGTTGTTTTTTGTCATGGCCGTGATAGACACCGATTAGAAAATCATGTTATGGGTTAAAAAAAAAATGTATACCTAAACTTTATTTATTATAATAAAACTGTGATTAGATTTTATGTCACAAATTTAATTAAACGTGTTCAAATTGTTCATTAATCATGAATAGTGGAATATAATATTATGTTTATTATAAACAGTAAATAAAATGGTTTTGTACAGTCTTAAATAAGTTGAATACTTAAATAATTAAACAAAATATTTACAAATGTAATGGATGCTTTGTTTGTTTCAAATACATACCAAGTTAAACCGAGATTTGAGGCACGTGTACCTGATTATCAAAATCGGGGTCATTTGTGGTCACGTTTGTATGTCGTGCTTGAAATGCGATCATTTGTGACAGTCGTATTACATTTCATTGATGTTTCGGAAATCGTAAAATTATATAATTATTCTGATGTTTAAAAAAATAAAATGCAATCAACAATCAATGAATAAAAACACATAAAAATAAATATTGAAATGAATGAAAAAAAAAAATAAAAATTATAACCGCTGTTATCTAGTTATTGAATGAAAAAAAATTAAGTGGTGGACAACGGTCGATGAATGAAATGATATTTGACTTTTAAGTTTTTTTTCTAAGTGCTTACATCATAATCACACATATTAAAAATGACCAATAGAATGAATAAAAAATGTAATCAAAAGAAAAAAAAATTCTATCTTATTTTAATCTTATATATTTCAATTAATACATCATTAGGAGAAAAAATGCTTTTGTGGATTATTTTAATATTTTGTGGAGGCTCTTGAGTTTCCCTATAAATCGGTCTCGGGGTCTGGAGTTGATGATTTTCAAAGGTTGGTCGAAAGCCGAACACGAATTGTGCAATAAAACATTGAAATCGATTACTCCATAAATTGACACTTTTATAACCAACGAGTTTTAGAGAATATTCTCAAATCTGACAAACATTTAAATACAAACATTTTATATGTTTAAATTATTCAAATAAACTATTATTATAATATTAATTAACTTTAAAAAATTATTATGTATTAATTTGAATAATTAATATAAACAAAAACATCATAACATAAACTACTAAGAACTATTATTCTCTTAAAACTTTAATGGCCTACTTAAATTGAACATGATGAATGTTATGTGTATGTCATTGTATTTATGGTTTGAGACAATAGAATGTAAGAGGATGTCAATAAAAATCAATTTCTGTACAGTTGATTGTGCCTTTTACAATATGTCATGAGCTAAAATTTTGACCAAAATGTAAGGTAGATGATGGGTGGTAAGTTAAGCGACAAAATACAATATAATAGTATTTAATAAATTGCGTATAATCAATTATAAATGAGTAATGTCAAAAGAATAATGTGACACTATTTACAGTACCTACCAATTAGTTGTAGAAAACATATCTTTAATGATTGTATAGATTGGCATGTGCCTTATAAATTTTACCTAGACAATTTTAATCCATTTTGAATAATGTCAGTAAAAAAATTTCTAGTTAAAAGACTTATAACATTATTATAAGATAATTTAATTTAAATTCTTTAGTAAAAATAGTTATCTGTACAACTGTACAGTACATTGATTTTGAATTATGATGTATTCTTTTTTTGCATGAACAATTTTCAACACGTATAATTTTAAAATAATGTAATATAAGATGGTTTTGTGAGTAAAAGTATTTTTTTTTTTTTTTAAACGGTTTTTCGCTTACAATGTTATTTTACATTCCTGGTTTTAATATATACCTACTAAAATAAGATTTTGGAACATTAAAACAATTAGTAATGTTTACTATCTCTGAATTTAATAACATATCTATTAGTAAAATAATGATAACAATTATAACAGCATTAAATATTAAGTAAAATATTACAAAATATTACAAAACAACTTGTTTATTTAACTAAAATCTATAATCAGTCTTGATCTTATAAATTAACATTATATGACAAATATTTCAACATCAACCCTGTGTTTACATAGTCTAGAGATTTCTCAAACCCTAAATTCATACACTTTTTCAGTCCATTGAATTATTTTACAATATTAAAAATTTATGTAGTTAAATATCGGATTATAACATCATCGCGATACAATTAATGAATAACAAATTTAATTTGATTAATCTATGTTTTTCTATGAGTATACAATTTTTTCTCGCTGTCGCCGTCGTTGTGTAAATTTGTATCTTGGAGTTTTCGTTTACGTTTCATCATTACTTTAACATGTTTCTTTGAACCCATATGGATGTTGTACTGTATGTCATCTACAACAAAACAAAATAAATTAATCATAAAGAAAACAAAAATATGTGACAATCATTTACAAGTATACCATAGGTCAGCATAACTTAAACTTTTTTATCCGAGGAACCCTTTTTGATGTTCACTTTTATCGTGGAACCCCTACTTTTTTAGCTTTTTAGTTTTTTTTAGGATTATTTTCAATAAAAATTATAATTATTTCATGTAATAACAATGTGTTAAAGGTATTTTATTCATAAAATATGTTAAACCAATAATAATAATAATTGTTTATAATAATACTTAAATTACTTTAATTAGACTAAATTATAACTTAAATGAGATAAGTGAAATTGTTTTTTATTATAACAAATATTCTTAATATTGGGTTTTATTAATGAAAGTTGTACAAACATTTTTTTCCTTACTAATCGCTTCTTATCTTTAGTAGGATATTTTAAAATAATTTATCTCAAAATTTTCAAGAAAATTACTTAAACTTAACACAGTTTAAGAAATGCTGTCATAGATTAATAGTCATTAAATATTTTTTTAATATCTATAACGGATCAGATATTATTTGTTATGCTATATTTATATTCTAATTGATAGGAGCGATTACAACATTTTTAAATGATATCAAACATAACTATTATTTTATTACAATAATATTTTAGCATAATCTACAACGCATTCTAGTTAACTCTAAGAAATAAACACAAATTTTAAGAAAAAATATATATGATCAAACTAGCCTCCAACCTTCTCTTTCAACTCACAAACTGAATACATCTTCTTACTGCTTACTTAACATATACTTTTTATTTTTATAATTTTTTATTACACATTTTAATAGTTTAAGTAGTTACAATTTTACAAGCGGAAAGTATCTACAGTAAGATGGTTTTACCAATATTTATTAGAGTTTAAAAAACTCGTTTAATTTATTCATACATATTAAACTATATAATTTAGTTTATTAATAGTCGAGATCATATTCTACAACTATAAATATCATATTTGGTTCCTGTACATACATAGGTTGTAGTACTACACATAAGGTGTTGTCAAGACTTCACTTTATCTATCTAGTATACTCCTCTGTTCACTTCTTTCTGTTTACATTTTTAAACTTGTCAAACTCTATTCAAATAATCAGAAATATCAAGTAATTAATAATTAATTTATTCATGATTTAAAATAGTTCTATGATTGAAAAAACTAAAAACGAATTAACTTTTTTTTAGCTTAAGTTATCTGTGAATACTTTAATAACAGCACATTAATACAGAATTACAGCTTAATAACTATCTAAAATCGTATTTAGTGATTTGAAAAAAGTTATCAATAAGTACCAACGCTAGGTGAGACACCACATACAAAACTCAGAGAATAGTTATTTCGTACAAAACAGCGCATTGTCATAACCATTAATCACACCGTTATCGACAAAACATAAAATATTTTGAGGTTGCCCCTCTCTCTCTCTCTCTCTCTGTCGTAGAAACACACAGGATTGATGCTCGAGGCGTCTGACACTCACTAGAAAATGGTCTGGAACAGTCTTCGCAATAATAATCGCCGTATACAGGTAAAACGATTTTTTGATCGCTGATATCGATGGGCTCTAGCGTGTGTTCACCGCGAGGTTTCCTGCCCAAAACAACCTGTGCTAAGTCTACCGCCTGGTCGCCTAGTCGCTGCCACTCCTTGAGGTCGGTGCAGTCCAGTTGGTACACCGAGACGGCCTGCAATGTGTAAAAAAAACTGTTATTGTTAATATTGTGGTAACTAAACACCTATAAATCATATATAAGAGTGGCTTTTATGATTAGTGTTGTTATAGTGATATTTAAATCGTCACCTGTTTGTCGTTGGGCTTGAGAAAACGGTTGTTGATCCATCGTATCTGCCGCCTGGCGTACTTTTTGGTCATGTACTTCATGGCGATGAGCGCATCCTCCAGACACTTGCGGCCAATCTCGGTATTGCGACTGTCTACCGGCAGCTCCAAATACTGCTGAAACTGTTTCAGACCAATGCATTGTAACACGCCCTTTGTAAAGTCCAAATTGAAGCTAAAATACATTACATAAAAAAATCGATTAATAATCTTAGATTTATATAAAGTATTACATTATATCGTATGTATATAAAAATAATAAATTACAATTGTAAAATCATTCGAAGAGCAAAAAAAAAAAAAAAACTTTCCCGATCGTGTTAACACTCATTAGGTACACGTTGATAATGCATCGAGAACATATTTTACAATACTTAAAATGAAAAAATTCGCTCGAACCGGTTATGCGTCACGAACGGCATACGAATGTATAAAACAATAAACGTATATATGTATATAATATTAAGGATATACATAGATATACGTTATAAGTACTGCAAAGTTCTCTCTATATCAACAATATAATAACATCGTGAGTCGTACAGCGTACGGTATTATGTGTTGTGTGTACCCTATAAATAACTGCATTTATTTAATGTGTATAAACGTTTTGTATAATGTATGCCCTCAAACGATTTTTATACGCATACTTGGACAAAATATTGTGGCGAGAGGGGTATTTATACAGCAATGTAAGTATATAATATTCGTATGTATACTGTCGTTGTTTTTTCGTCTATGATTATATTTCGAACTTCCTCAGATATGCAGACCGACCTAATTTAACCTCACATATGTACACTTACAAAACTCGCATCGTTATAACCAGGTAGGTACAACGGGCCCTCCAGTGCTCATTCATACACCGACGGTAGTCACGTTGTACTGTATTATATATAAATAATATAATAATGACCATAAATCGAACGTTTACTAATAATAATTTATACAATCGATCCTATAAAAATATGTATGTGTCCGGAAGTAATAAATCGTTCGTCGAACAAGTTCGTTTGTTTTGAATATTATAGTCTAAACGATTCGTTTCGTTATATACCAGTTTGTATATAGTTATACAAAGTATAATGAAAAGACGCGTCATACTATAAAACACTAGCAGTAGAACGTATTTAAATATTTCATTATATAAATCGATTTACGTCAAAGAATGAATAGTTTTTAAGTTTACGAATTTTATTTCGTATAGGTACTAAGGATAACAATAGGTCTACAATATTTGATATAGCTACCTATCATGACATAGGCTGTGATGATATTAAAATAATAATAATAATAATAATAATAATTTATCTATTTACAATTTTTATAATTTATAGTCCAAGTATAATAGTAGAAACTAGATGAAATTTTACGTTTGTATTTTTACGAACTATTATTATGCAGAAGTATATCCATTTAAATAAATCGAAATCTACTTATTTGAATTTGTATTCAGATGAGTACCTATATCAAAAGTTTCAAAAAAATGTATTTACCAGTTAACAATAAAAAAGGTTAGTTCTTATTCGGAAAAAAATAGAGGACATTTCTTAAATATTGTAAAAATCTAAGTATTTGAAAAAATTTGCTATAAAAAAAAATAATAAATTTACCATGAACTGCTTTCTTCAAAAAAAAACTTTACTTGTTAAAAAAAAAAAAATCAGAAATCAACTGATTTTTGAACTGTATGGAAAATAATTACATAATAATATATTGACAGAAATATAAAAATTACAAGAGCGAATTATAAATTTATTCAGCGATATACGCTTTTGACCATTGGCAATAATAATAAAAAAAAAAACCCGCACGAGAAACATTCATAGAACTACAGGTTTGGAACATACGTCTCAACCGTTTACGATAATGTTATATAATATAGCTGACACCAATAGGTATAATATAAACAGAACGAGACAACTTACTTGATTTTGGAAAGTTCGTTTTTAAATTGGCAAAGCTCGTCGATCAATCCTCGTTCTACCATCTCGTCCGTGCGTTCTTCGAGTCGTCTGTTCAAAATGTCCTGGGAAAAAAAAACAATAAAACATAAAAACGACGAATAAAATGAGACATACATAAAACACGTTTACAAACAAAATATCTTATAGAAAGAAAAAAATACGACATTTCGAATATAATATAGCAAGTAAGTAGACACACGAGATTTGTCCGTCTTTTCGCACACTTATTATTATCGCCAACCAATGGAGTCATTGAACTAGTTATTATATTTTCTTTACGCACACATCACCACCGTAAATGATTAACTGCCCCGGCAACTATATAAAGTCCAACGTGTTTGAATTATTCATTTAGAGCACATACTTTCACGGTTAATCCGCTAGCCGTCTGTTTATTATAAATATGTATCGTCGCGTTTATACATTATATATAACTATATATTTCAGAAAAGCGGACGTCGTGCTTTCACCACAATTACACTCCATATATTATGTACGTGAGCATAGTTTCGGTAATCCGACATGTATGGGACCGGAAAACTGTAATAAAGTATTGTCGGGTAGTCAAATTTGTCGGGTATTATCGAATTTAATATATACATATATATATATATATATATCATAAATAATCATATGATATACGTTATCATTTTTCGTAATCCAACTTTTGTCAAAAAGTGCTTTATAATGAGAAATTCAATTTAAAAAAATATACAGAAAAACGTCCGCGCGTTGTGTTGATAAACAATTATTTTTTAACTTATTTACCCCTCAAGCTCTATATCTATAATCTATATATTTTATCATAGCTTTAAATAATAAAGATGACAAATTTCCTAGACATTAATTTTATTTTATTTTGTCTAGTTTATTATGTTCCAACGCTGACTAAAATTTTTAACATATTATCGGAGTTTTTAATTTTTTATCAAATGTTTTTAGTTGACTTTTAATAGACATAATTTACAGTATCCTGGTGTATGTAGGCGTAAATATTTTTTTTTTAAATTTAATCCATTCATATATTTATTAAACCAATCATTGTTGCAGAACTACGTAAAAATTACTCAATTTTAATTACGGTTGTCGACCCAGTCGGCCATTAAATATACACACATATAATATACATGACAATTATTCTCGTTGTATAACTGACTGAAACAAATATCAAAGTAGCACAGCTCGTTTTGTAATATATATGCGCACCATACGTTAAGTTACGCACATTTAAACTTTTAAATTATTTAAAGTAAGGTTATTTTTCAAGTCTTAAGGTGTATGTATTACAGACCACCTCGAACTTGTCATATTATTACCAAAACGACAACACACACGAATACACGATATTAAAAACCAAGATTGTGCTATACATCAAACGTCTTTCGCCAAAAAAAAAAACCACTAAAAAATTGGAAGGGGAAGAGGAACGTAACACATACAATTTTTATGTTTCATATAGACCTGAAACGGTAATCCCTTTAAAAATTACTTTTCAATAAAACAAATAAAGTAAATTAACCCTCTGTTGAGTCCGCGACTTCGTACCAGATGAGGTTATGGTTTCAGATGAACATTGCAAAAATAAGTGAAGTATATAAAACAAATAGCAGACAATATCTGCCTCATTTAGCCGCTTCTCATTTCAATGATTATCATTATTTTGAAAGCTGTATAGTCACCGGCAGGACTCACGAACAAGGAAAATATTTAAGACAAATCTTACATTCTGCTAGGGAGGACGTTACGTGGAAACCACCGCCGTACAATAATAATAATATAAAACTACTATAACGAACAAAATAGAAAATTAATGAATTCTCAGATTCGATAAATTGAAAAACAATTGGTAAACAATAAACGGAGCAGTGGATACATACGCAGAGTCCGCGTGTTGTCATTACTGTTAGACCTGAACGGGATATAAATGGCGTCTCGTTTAAAGTTCATGTCGAAGAAAAAGAACTTGCAAAATCGCAGGACATATTATTTTTTTGTCATGTAACGCGCGTTATTATATGGTTTCAACTTTCAAGTATACATGAACCTCTATATACGAGCTTTTTGGTTCGATATACGTTCGTTCACGTCATCGGCGCTGCAGCTATAAAAAAAAAAAAAATTACAAGAAAATAAAATATTTACTTGTCGCGGTCCGGTCACGAAACGACCACGGCACAAAACGTGACTCAAGCCTACACTCCCTGCACCACCGTAGCCACGTTGCCAAGGGCTAAGGTGAAACATCATTTGATTTTATCAAAATTCTAACGCCGCAAAATCGACATAGCGATGTGATGACTTTTCAGCACACAACTCAATATTTTGATAAAACTAAAACACTTTGGTCAACTCGGTAGTTTTTTAGTTTTTGGTCGCATGTCCCATAAACACGTCACATGTTTTGTATTATTATTATAATTAAAATTATTTGTATACACACAAAGAATATATTATTATTATTATTATATCCTTAATTATAAATGCAACGTCACGAAAACCATTCCAAAATAACATCGTCGTTCAGTTGAAACGGATGACGGTTCGAGAAGTTCGTACATATTGCAATATTACAATATTATTGCGCAATGCGTTACGGACAAAGTATAGGAAATATAAACCATTGTAGTGCGGTAACCGAATCAAAGAGTCTAAATAAATGAATTAATAAAATCAAAGTGTTATAAAAATTAAAGAATCAAGTATTATTATATTACTTTAAGTAAATACTAATTTGGAAGTCACATAAAGAAAAATTAATTACAATTTAAGTGTAAACAGTTTAAATAATTAATTATTATTATTATTTTTACATTTAATAAAATAGAATATATTAAAAAATAATAACTCTGAACAGAGATAATATTTCTAATTTTGTAACACGAGTAATACTATTAAATAATCATTATTATAAATATTATATTAATGAATAAAAATATATACTCAACTGTTTTAACGAAACTAAGTTATATTCTAACAACACGAATGTTAGCACCTCCTTTAATTAAGTAAAAAAATGAATTTTTGATTTTAAAATGATTGAATTTTTTACATCACCAAGTAACGTTATATAAATAATCTGTGGAAATAATAGTACTCGTCTTGGAGAAAATATTCGTAAATACGACAATATCCATATCAGCAATTTTATTAATCGACACGAATATATTGCGCGATTCGGGTCAAATGTTACCAATTATTATACATTATCGAGTTGTGTTTTAGACGTCTTAGGATTCATTCCGAATAGTAAATAACCTTCAGAAAGAATAATATTTACCAAAATAAAAACTAATCACTGAATAACGTTTTCAAGTATAATCAGCTAGTTTATTTCTCCGTTTGGACAAATAATATTATTATTAAAGGTATATATTATGAATTTTAATATAATACGTTAAACGCGCTTAAAGGATTTTAGCGCACTAGTTTTTTACCTACATCAACAGAGAAACCGAGAAATCGAATGAATACGATTTAGAAATACAATTATTCACTACAAGACAAGAATACTTGATCAATAGAACTTTATATATTATTTTAGTAAAATATCCTATTTAAAAATAGTCTAGGCTAGTTTTATTTTATTTTCAAAAAAGTTCAATAATTTAAAGTTGTACTGTTTAAAAATAATTAATAAAAATGTATGTACTATAATAATACTTTTATCTATGACTTCTGTAATAAGTTTTTTACCTTCTTTACCCTCTTTTCCGTCTAAGTGAATATGTTTTTAGCATTTTTTTAATATGTTATAATATAATTTCATAATTATGTAATAATAGATACAATTAAAATATTACTATACATACAAAAACAGAAGAGATGACCTCTGGTAAATTATTTTGAAATTTAAAATAATGTTTAAATAACATATCAAACCCATTAGAAATACTAGGACTAACACCCCCTTGTAATGTCAAAAACCATTAATATCGAATATTAATCGTATTGGAACCAATTTATATTTAATCAGATGCTTGGCTCACGACATTCGATCAAAGAATAGGTAAACTATTTGTGTTTGAAAAAAGTTTGTGTCAAACTTTCATTGAATTTCAGTTTAGGGCAATTTTTTTTACGAACTTTGTCCCAAATCGTTTATACACACTCTCTCGTTGAATGTTATTACAACTTTAACTTTTACCTTGAGTTTCAATCACCCAGATTACTATAGTTCTATATACGATTAAGAATTTGTTTTTTTTTTACACAATAAACACAAAACAACAAAGCGCTTGCAATCGACTTTTAGACCTAAAATGATACATGTAAACACGTCAATAACTAATCATTCAATCTGTATAATATAATAACCATTTCCGATCGACTTAAATTATGGCAGCACACCGAAAGTGAGGTCAAATATCTGATTACGATAGAAAATTTCAATACATTTTTTTTTAGTAAATCAATATATAATAAAATTATGTTTGTAACTCGCTCGGCCTAATCGACCTTGTGAAAAAAAAGAAATTATTATAATCTGAAATTTTTCACAATTTTACTGTTTTTGGGACTTGAAGCGACACTCCAAAACATGTTGGTAGATTTTGATATTTCACCGCGATGATACAGTTTATTGTACGATAAATTAAAGCATAATACATTATAATAAAATACGTGAGATATAATATAATTTTCTGTTTATCAGTTGTTTATAAATACATAACAGTATATTATAATACTATACGATTTCGAAATATAGGATATTAAATACATAGAAACGAGTTATTTTCAACTTTTAAAATACCATTATACGTTCCCAGACGTCGAAATGTGTGCTGCCGAGGAAATGGTATAATTAATCTTAATTCTTAAAATATGATCATAAACAGAATCGTATGAAAATCTTCTCACATATAATATATATATATTATGCGCATACAGAATATTTTAATGAGTTGTGTGCATGCTGCAATTTCATCACTTCCACAATTCCATAGAATTTTATTGCTTTTACGCATGTTCAATATTATTATTATTATTATAATGTATTTATAATATCTATACGATGTTTGGGTGTTTGGGGTTCAAGATTAATTTGTATGCGCTTCACCACCAA